CAGACACGTGAGTAAGTTGGTTGATGTAAGCAGCTATATATGACACTCAGACACGTGAGTAAGTTGGTTAATGTAAGCAGCTATATATGTCACTCAGACACGTGAGTAAGTTGGTTAATGTAAGCAGCTATATATGTCACTCAGACACGTGAGTAAGTTGGTTAATGTAAGCAGCTATATATGACACTCAGACACGTGAGTAAGTTGGTTAATGTAAGCAGCTATATATGACACTCAGACACGTGAGTAAGTTGGTTAATGTAAGCAGCTATATATGACACTCAGACACGTGAGTAAGTTGGTTAATGTAAGTAGCTATATATGACACTCAGACACGTGAGTAAGTTGGTTAATGTAAGCAGCTATATATGACACTCAGACACGTGAGTAAGTTGGTTAATGTAAGCAGCTATATATGACACTCAGACACGTGAGTAAGTTGGTTAATGTAAGCAGCTATATATGACACTCAGACACGTGAGTAAGTTGGTTAATGTAAGCAGCTATATATGACACTCAGACACGTGAGTAAGTTGGTTAATGTAAGCAGCTATATATGACACTCAGACACGTGAGTAAGTTGGTTAATGTAAGCAGCTATATATGACACTCAGACACGTGAGTAAGTTGGTTAATGTAAGCAGCTATATATGACACTCAGACACGTGAGTAAGTTGGTTAATGTAAGTAAGCAGCTATATATGTCACTCAGACACGTGAGTAAGTTGGTTAATGTAAGCAGCTATATATGACACTCAGACACGTGAGTAAGTTGGTTAATGTAAGCAGCTATATATGACACTCAGACACGTGAGTAAGTTGGTTAATGTAAGCAGCTATATATGACACTCAGACACGTGAGTAAGTTGGTTAATGTAAGCAGCTATATATGACACTCAGACACGTGAGTAAGTTGGTTGATGTAAGCAGCTATATATGACACTCAGACACGTGAGTAAGTTGGTTAATGTAAGCAGCTATATATGACACTCAGACACGTGAGTAAGTTGGTTGATGTAAGCAGCTATATATGACACTCAGACACGTGAGTAAGTTGGTTAATGTAAGCAGCTATATATGACACTCAGACACGGCAGTAAGTTGGTTAATGTAAGCAGCTATATATGACACTCAGACACGTGAGTAAGTTGGTTAATGTAAGCAGCTATATATGACACTCAGACACGTGAGTGGTTTGTTTAATGTAAGCAGCTATATATGACACTCAGACACGTGAGTAAGTTGGTTAATGTAAGCAGCTATATATGACACTCAGACACGTGAGTGGTTTGTTTAATTTAGGAAGCTATATAGAACACTCAGACACGTAAGTTGGTTAATGTAAGCAGCTATATAGAACACTCAGACACGTGAGTAAGTTGGTTAATGTAATCAGCTATATATGACGCTCAGACACGTGAGTGGTTTGTTTAATTTAGGCAGCTATATACATCACTCAGACAGGTGGGTTCCTGGCAGGCGCGTAGCCAGAAAGATGCAGAGTGTAAGTACAAATGATGAAACATTTTGAAATCAGGGAGAATATACCACAGCTAAAAGTAAAACATTTTTCTGAACACATGTTTAAGTTAAGGCAAACATCAATAACATGGTGCAAGTGCAGACAATCTGCCAGTTAACATTGCTTGGCTGAGGTAAGTCTACTGCGTCTCATTGCGCTGAAAGAACGTTCAGCTGTTGCAGCGGACACTGGCATTGTCGCCAAGGTTTTCACGGCCACGTGGATGTGAGGATAAAGATCCTCCTTGACAAAGTCGAGTGTTGTTAGCAGACAAGATGGCCTTTCATCAATGGCTACGTCCTGCCAATGGCATTTCCGCCGTCGGACTTCAACATTTAGCTGCTCAATGACGCGGTTCAACAAATTGTTGAAACACCCTACAATTTCATCAGTAAGGTTGTGCAGTGAGCTAGGCACTAAGTACTGTGCTTCCAAGCGACCATTAGGTACAATCAACCTCTGCTCCATTTGCTGAGAGATGTGGTCAAGAAGAGGGTAGTATACGTTCATCTTCCAGTACAGCATTGGAGTTGGAGCAGGGGCATTGTCTCTCTCATTGTCTGACGGCCAACACACCTTGGCATACTAGGGGCCAGTTCATATTTTGTTGCAAGCTGTGAGGCATCGTCAAACAGTTCTTACCATACATCATCATCCTCACGGATTTGTCGGAGACTACTAATGACAACTGAAGCCTCACTGGAAGCTTTAATTAAGTCAATACTATCAGACTGTAACAGTTTCAATAACTGTACAGTGTAATGCATGGCATGTTGTGAAACAATGAGACCAACGATGAAGTCAAAGGAGAGAATTGACAATCGTAACGATCTAGCTCTGGAATCCCCATTTTGTTCCAGTGCTCGCAAGCTATCAACAATAACATCAAATGCTGCTTTGAAAGTGGATAGAGAATCTGCACGGATTGACCATCGTGTTTCCCATAGTTCAGTGACCTTCTTTTTCCTGCCCATTGATTCTCTGACTTCTTGATTGGATTCAAGCTCATTGGAGAAAAATAGAAGACGCTTTGCTGAATATGAAAATGCAAATGCGATATCCTGAACTGTGGACATGATCATTTTCACAGACTTAATGGAACAACTGTGCACAAGCGCTAGGTTCAAGCAGTGAGACTTGCAGTGTACATAGAACACCTCGTTTAATGATTGCCTGAACGCCGTTGGCATGACCACACATGTTGGAAGCGCCGTCATATCCCTGACGTCTCATGATTTTTTTATCAACGGCATATTCACCTAATTCTGAAAGAAATTTCTCAGCTAAATTTGCTGCCGTTGTGCTTTCAGCTTCAACAAATCCCCCCCAAAACTTTCTTTTAATATTGTGAGGCCTTCCTCAATAACCGACACATACCTGACAGAAAAGGAAATCTGTTCCTTGTTTGAAGAATCAGTGGCCTCATCAGCAATAAGAGAAAAACATTCCTGAGCATTGCATTCATTTGCTATGTGTTCTTTTATTTGTAAAGCACACAGGTGAATGAGCTCGTTTTGAATCTGTGGTGAAAAATATTTGTTGTTATGGTTTTTCAGGATGACATCATGCCGCGCCGTGTATTGCAAGAGAGCAACGAAGTTACTTTTGTCCTGTGTGTGCCTCCTAATTGTAATATTTTGTTTTCCCACACAGGAGTGTTTCAATGAGTGTTTTCAGAAGTGAACGGTTTGGTAGCAACAGTTGCTTTATGGCTACTTGACAGTTGCGTACAAATATCATCTTGAACGTGAGAAGCAACCTTTCAGTAGTTACTGCATATTTCGATATTTCGCAGCAATTTTGGTGATTTCAAAGATTAGTGTGCCGCTTTATCAATGTTCCAATATTTGCCCAGTCATTTACATAAGCAGATACAAAAGCACCCTTGTTTGCGTCAGTGGCGAAAAGGACACATGGAAGACATATGACACCATCGTTAAGAGGAGAATAACTTAGCCAAGGATATTAATCTAAACATCTTGCGTTAAACTTTCTATTTTGGCCCCTGATATTCCTCAATGGGAACTTCACCGACTTATCTCTCCTGACGCCAGTTGCATCTAAGTCCCCGAGAATGAGAGAGCGATTGCTCTCAGTTTTGAGATCCTGTAATTCAAATGACGCAATATCAATACCAGCAAAACCAGTCTTAATATTTGTCAATTCTACCGGCTCAGCAGAGACAGTAGACGATCTCGGAGTGTCTGATTTAACAATTGGCGAGGAATCGGTATTTGACTCAGATAATGCTATTGTATCAGAATGTTTGGGAACACTGGGTACTATGGTGAGGTAAAACGGGCGTTTCAGTCAATTTGGGTTGTTTAAAGAAGAACAAATCAATTGTAGATGAACGTTTTGCAGGTCTCTTACTCATTTCTGCGCATAACAAAAGATACAATACTTAAGAGGTAAAACAATTTCAAAGAACAGACCAACGATGTCGCCTATAGAACGAACGATTTCGGTCTGAAGTGTCAGCCTGTTTCCAGGCATAATCTATTGTATAGTGTAGACACAACATGTTTTGTCTATAAATTATCCGCGAAGCGAGGTGCGTTCGGGTACCACGGCACTTTACCAGAAACCACCTAGTAAACATGAAAACAAATTAAATGTTATGTTTCTAAGCATCTTGAATCATAACCAAAAAAAATTCAATTTCAAAGTGTAAGCCACTGATTGGTCTAATGGAGGCAGCTATATATGGCACTCAGACACGCGACGGTACATTTGCTGCTGAAGTGAGTGAAAAACTAACAAATGTCATCATCAGATTGTAAACATGGGAAAGGTTGTAAATCCAAGTCTTTTGTTTCACCAATCGTTACATCGAATTTATGTGATTCAAATGTCTCGCTGTCATGTGGGGATGAATCACGTGGCCAGACTTACCTTGCTCCCCAAAAACACGACGTTAAAAGCGCGGAGTTCAGATGGACGATATCCATCAGACAAAACTCGAAATGATGATTATCTCCATCCATCTTTAAACATCCAAGAACAAATATATTCCCACAAACATCTGGTACTGAAAAGAATGCAAACATATATACTTTATGTATTGTTTATATATATAATCATCCATACTTGAAATACTCATATTTCAAATATACGAAAGCATACGAAACTAAAAAAGTTTGTCATCAGGCAAAATTTAAGTTTTCTCAAACATATATATCTGTAAACAGAATCTATAGATAAGAGAGTATGTAAAAAACTGTGTTAAAGCCGTTACATACAAAGTGGAAAAACAACTTCTCAGCTCCATTTGTAATAACCCTTATAAAATATCTGCAGCATACAACAAAGTATTATTTTCTCACACTTTTCACAATAATAGTAATAGTAAGAACACGATGTGTAATTTGTGACTGATAATATAAAAACACAATATGATAAAACTAATATTTCTCTTTAAACGGACTGTTTTCAATGGGAGGTAACTCCTGTAGCCATTTCCCAGGGGGCGTGCACAGCTAACATGGCTACCGTTTCATTTCGATTGGATCTCTTCAATATTATTATAAGAATTTAAGACACTTATCTTCATCTTAATGCCTGGTTTTCAAAGACTTTCGGTTACACTTTCGATTCTGCACGTAATAGTGCTGTGATAAGTACTGAACACGATGGCAGGTAAGATATATGCCCAACAAACGTAAAATTTTCACTGAAAACAGGTGTCTGTTGCTGTTGACTGTCAAACCCGTGAAACCGGCCCGTTGTTGATAACATACCGATCTCTTTTAACAAGGAACTTATTCGAAGAACACTTAATTAACACTTCATTTAATTTGTTAAGAACTCCCTGTAGATTTGTGTTTGCGTTCTCATGACTGCTACTACACCCGGGCGGTAGTCAATGACACTTGACTATCAGTTACACACTCTTGGTATAATAAGGTTTCCTAGAAAACACGAATAAGAGGTAGTTGGATTATTTAAGAAAAACGAATAAGCGGCAGTTAGATTCTAAAAGAACACTATTTGTTCATGTAACTTTGTTAATTTATCGATATGTAAACCGTTTTATGTGCTAACAGTAAGAAACAATGTAAGAAAGTGAATATGTTGTGGAAATGTGCTGCCTACCAGAGATGGTATATTGCAAGTAGCTTTTATGTTGATAATATGTTGGTTCAGTTCTATGTATGATTTAACCCTAGTTGGGAATCTTGGTTTCAATGGGTATTGAACTGTCCACTAGAGAGGCAAACTAATGCATTAGGTGGTTTGGCTAGTTTTGAGTCATTGTACCTCAACAGCAAGGTTATTGACAAAACCAACTTCAGAATGGTCTGGTTCAAAGTTATTCATTTACAGCCATCATCTTTTACATGGGATATTGTTTGAGTTCCATGATAAACAGGAAAAAAAACCATAGAAATATTTTAATGGTGCAAGTAAGACTTCGGAGTCTTCAGGTATAATTTTCATATGTGTTTTTGTCCCATTTATCTGACATGAAACTGACTTGCTGCATACTTGTCTGTTCTCAGGATGCTGTGGTTGTTGTGCAGCCTTAAAACCTCGTTACAAGAGATTGGTTGACAACATCTTTCCAGCAAACCCAGAGGTAAAGTGATAATTGATCTGTCAGTGACAGTACAGATCATGTATCCAGTCAGCTGGTCTAGACAGAACTGGCAAACAAGTCCTATTTCATGAGGCACATTTATGCATATTAGTTATATAATGATGGTTCGGGACCACTTTCTACGTAATTCCGCTCCTAACGCCTAGTATAAAATAGTGATTTTCGAGCAGAGACATCATTCGATGTACAGCTGAGCTCGCCAGCCTATACCCATTTTTGCTAGGGCTACCCATTTTGTTCAGCAACTACAAATCAACTACTTATAAGAATCTCATTTTCGCTAGGGCTACCCATTTTTTCAGCAATCATTTTTTTTCAACCCGACACCAAGGTTGCTCGAACTTCCAATTAGACATATGGAGTTGCTACAGTATACAGGGTACACTGCGATAACAACTATGGCAAAACAAATCGCAACAACTTTCCAAGAAATGGGCATTCGGTGCAGCAAATCGATCACACACCACCTTCTACTGGAAAACAGGCATGACAACAACCTTGTGTCCGATATCTCGACGGTAGACTATCTCGCTGGAAATCTCGGGGAAACCCACCTGCAACCACTCTCCGGTCTTCCAGCCTTTGTTGACGACCTCTACGTGTTTGGCTATCTATCTGGCAAAGACATCGTGCAGCACAAGGGAAGCGTCCAGTGTACGACGGGAGAGCACGGCCACGTGAAAAAAATCGTCGAACTACTCCACTGGATACTACGCACCACCTACAAAGAGCACACCAAAGCCACCAGAATATATGAGACACTTCTCCCCACGGCGCAAAAGACGAGTGCAGGAGCTATTGCCAGCACGAATCCAAAAGATTGAAAGCGAAACCCAACAGAAATCGCTACGAGCATGGAAAGCCCAAAACGACGACGAAACCCCTTTTGCAGTCTTTGTGGCCAAAGTGGACATCTCCGAAATCGCGATCGACTCCAAGAGAAATTGTCCAATCTAGAAACAAAACTTCAAGGCAACGGACTAGGGATCTACAGCATCGACTACACCTAAGACTATTCCGGCATCCTAGACCGCAAACAGCTCGTGCAATTCCTCTGTAGCCAACATGGATTTGTCGAACAAGGCGATCTCGTGGAAGCTATTGAAAGCGGAAAACCCACCATCCTGGACAACACCCACTCGGTCGGCAACCAAGTTTGCACGTGGGTAGAGACAACAAAGTCCGGCAAAGCGATGCGCACCAAGCTGTACAACAAAGTCGTTTGCAACTTCGAAGCCGGAGAAGTCTGAGAACCGATTGGCGGCCATCTTGCCGACTACATGGATTGTCCAAACGAGCATCTCCGCAAAACCTTTCTCCACCCAGACGTACAACAACAAGGTTGCACTCGCATAGAAGTGTCTGTACGCCTGCCAAGACACTGACATGTCCACCAACAGAGCAGAAAACGTTTTGCAAGACGTGTTGGAGCGGGTTTCACCAGCAGGCGACGGTCTATTCGTAGTACAACCACCAGCAACGCAGTGGCTTCGTCTCGCAGAAAAGATAGACCGCTGTTTGGTCCTAGCCGACTGTCCACAGCAAACGATCTTCGTTGCGTGGTACGCACATTCGAAACCAGGCCGCGTGTCTGGAGTACACATTCGTCCAACCAACACAAAATCCTGGAAAAAAACATCGACTGGGCCATAGGTGACTTCGGTTTTCAAAGGGTTCCAATATTCTACGTGGATATCCTATCGGTAGAAGGAGATACAGTGGAACTAGGCCCACTCGGATGCGATGCCAAAGGCGGGGACACCAAGACGGTGCTAGCTGCCAGCAAGAAGCCAACAGCTCTACATCCATCCGGCATGGATCCAGACATATTTCTCCCGACAACTCCACACATCGAATGGCAATGGAGACAGAAAATATGCCAAAAGCTGGGCAGAGAAGGATCTGACCAACCTTTCCAAGAAATGCCAAACATAGCAGCCAATCGCAAAATTTCTACTCTGTCTACACAAACACGAGGAAAGAAATTGCTGGAGCTACTGGAGTCCGAGAAGGCAGAAAAATTGGCAATGAAAAGCCGAAAAGGCACTACAAAAGAAACAGTAAACATGGCATTGATGAGATGACAAGGACTAATACAGTATACTTGGCATTGATGAGATGACAAGGACTAATACAGTATACTTTGGGTTTGATGAGATGACAAGGACTAATGCAGTATACATGGCATTGATGAGATGACAAGACAACAGTATACTTTTGACTAATGCAGTATACATGGCCTTGATGAGATGACAAGGACTAATACAGTATACTTTGGGTTTGATGAGATGACAAGGACTAATGCAGTATACATGGCATTGATGAGATGACAAGGACTAATGCAGTATACTTGGCATTGATGAGATGACAAGGACTAATGCAGTATACTTTGGGTTTTAATGTTGCCGCTATTGTCAGATTATTGGTCTGAGGGACAAGTACCCTGATACATAAGTGCAATAATCTGGAACACAGTGTTAGGCCAAGTCAAGTTTCCATTGGAACCTATATCACATTTTTCTACTTTTCTTTTTAGGATGGACTGGTAAAGAACAATATGGCTCAGTTGACATTCTATGCCGTGTCATCGCCTGACAAGCTGGACAAGATTGGTCAATACCTTGAACAGAGGCTGAATAGAGAAGTGCACCGACATCGCATACCGTAAGTCAGAATTTAGTGTATAGAACATCTTGTGAGAGGTACATGTAATGTTCAAGCATACTATTTTAAAGATAATCAGATTTCTGTCTCATATTTGCTGTTCCACATGATCAAAGTAATCCCTACCTGAACATTATGGAACATGTGTGATGATATGAGGGAAAATATGAAATGTTATTGTTTGTATGGCGTTTTGGTAAAAAACTGTATGATTTTCTCCATTTAGTACAAAAGGATATAAACCTACATTGTTTTCTTTAGTTTTGATTTTGAGGTATGTATATCTCATTTGCCATGACATATATTGAATACAAGTTAATTATTGGAAGTCTGTGAAACTGTGTCAGTATGTGTTATGCCATGAAGCCAATAATGTACCAGGATGGTTAAAGAAAAGTACAGAGTGTAGAATATTTGTCTGCTTAATTTGCATCTCAGATTTAAAACAATCTGTAGGTTCCAAGCACTGTCTGTAGAAAGTTAGGCTCATAGTTTGTGTGTTTGCGGATACCTACAGATACAGATAACAATGCTGTTGTTGCAGGTTTGTGTTTATTGCCATGGATGCCCTGGACCAGCTGTTAAAGTCCTGCCACGCCCAGTCCCTCAACCTGTTTGTGGAGAGCTTCCTCAAGATGGTGCAGAAGCTGTTGGAGTGTGAGGAGCCGGAGTTGCAGATTCTGGCCACCAACTCTGTAAGTTCACTCATCTGGGGCAAGTACTGTTTACAAGCTGTAAGTTCACTCATCTATGGGGCACGTACTGTTTACAAGCTGTAAGTTCACTGTAAGTACACTGATCTTCGCACTTACTCTTCACAAACTGTAGGTTCACTGATCTTCAGGACTTACTCTTCACAAACTGTAAGTTCACTGATCTTCTGGCACTTACTCTTCACAAACTAGGTTCTCACTGATCTTCAGGACTTACAGGTTCACTGATCTTCGGCACTTACTCTTCACAAACTGTAGGTTCACTGATCTTCAGGACTTACTCTTCACAAACTGTAGGTTCACTGATCTTCGGCACTTACTCTTCACAAACTGTAGGTTCATTCATCTAGGGCAAATACTGTTTACAAACTAGGTTCATATTTTTAAACTTATCTTATCTCACTGAGTGTCCTCTCTCTCCTATAATCGTCCGTTGAGTGGAAACGAACTGTAAACAAAGTTTCGGGCCTCTCTTGAAGCCATCGCTCGAACACAAACCACTGCTCCCGCTCCTTGATAGCCTGGTAGCCTCCTGAGAAGCATGCAGCATGTTCTCTGGTTGGTCATGTGACTCCTCTGTCTAGGGTGCTGATGTGCTGTAAACTGTGGCAAATATACTGACTAAGATCATCTTTAACATCATGGGGGAAAGAAGATTCAACGTCAAGGGAAGGAAAGTTTGCATGGACTGCAAGAAGACTTTCTACATCGTGTACCTACATGTATTCTGCATAGAGTGCTTTGGTCTGTTGCGTTGAAGAATTGAAGAGGAAGATTAGGTGCAGCATATGCGACAAGTTAGACGACGACAACTTTGCTAACTATATAGAAGAATCAGACTTTACTTCAGCTTAGAGCAGGGATCGAAGAAAGAAAGAATTTAAGACAACTATTTCAGGGGTCCCGGCGTTATGCTGACAGGGACTCCAGACACAAGTGTGGGTTCACTGCATCTTGTAATACCAATGAAAGTGGGTTCGGTATGATCGACAATCCATTCGATGCATCCAAATGCTCACGCAATGATAACTTGACGGCGTATCTAGAAGTTGTTTGATCTGACATATGTGTGGTTGTTCTATGTGTCTTCTTCACGGACCTCTTGGTTTTCTTAGTTGAAGAAGGGACGAATTCTTGTCATTCGGCAAACTGGCAAGATGCAGCAGTTCCTCACAATTCAACGATCCCCTTGAATTTGGCAAGACATCAGACATCAGGGAACTCGACTTTTACATCCTTCGGACGCATACCAACGGATCACCGATCCCTCAACCGCCAGTTTCATCATGGGAAGTGGTCATACAACGTTCTTCGAACCCACATGATTTCTTGAACTTGATCCTGTGACCTTGTACGATTACTAAGGTTTGCCGATTTCACCCATATTCGTTGAATAATCAAGGAAATCCCTGACGGCTCTTCCATATATCAGACGCCTTCAACAGCCCGCCGTACTGCGATGATCTCTCATGAATCGGCGATCTCTCTGGACATCCCCAGATGCTCAGCAATCCTATTGACATTGGTGAATTCCTCGCTCTCAGTTCAGCCATCCTTGACGATTATGACCCAGTCCTCAGCTGCACCACCGACCAGCGATTACGATTTACCGTTCCGCGAATGGACCCGCTCATCTCTACCTATTTGTCACAGGCTACTAGAGTGATGCAGCTGAACCTACCTGCCTACCTGGGATCATTCCCGAGATACACAACCTCACCCTGACATGGACTTTGACTTGATGGTGCAAGTCATGGCGACGGCTTTGAAGCAAGTACAGCAACTAGATATGTTTCCGTATCAGAACTGTCAAGTCCTGAGTTCGTCAGTGTCACCAGTCAGTGTTCGATGAGCTTCCTCTCCTTCTCCCACAGGGAGACCCCTTCGTCGTATCTACACTGAGCTCGGGCTATGCCAGCTCTACAGACCACTACTAATGGGGATCCTCCCATTTGGCATTTCTACAACGCGTGGCCATAAACCCACATCACGAAACACATCACTTAGTCTCTGCACCACTGAGGCATCGTGTTTGAGGCTTATATCAATGATTGTATACAATCCTCCTACAACATCTACTATTCACCACCAAATAGAGTAGATTCTCAACATCAAGAGATCAAAGCAGATTCCAACTTCATACGCACACACTCAGTCTACCATCCATTGTATCAGATATCAAGGAGGTCAACCTGATAATGCACCGGTGACGCAGGGAGTTGACTGGAGATACACTGGTAGTTCTTTGGAACTCAATAGATGGCCAACCTGGCTACTATACAGTTTCACTTTATTATCACATGGGAAACTTGTGTGGGTGAAATTTTGACTACATATATTCGACAGAATGCAATGCCTGCGCACCGGATCTTTAACATCATCAGGGGAGTACTGCATTCCGTGAAATAACAAGAGAGCAGTTTAGCCCGTGCCAGGCAGCATTATAGTGAGACAGCGAGAATTGCTCCGCATGCGCAGACTACTTCGTCATTCCATCAGTACATGCAGTGGTGGCTTTACGAATAGAAGAGTTACATTCTACGTCCGTTCCTGAGGCTCGACGATCCCCATACGCTGATCCTTCTAGCCTGGGATCAGGACGCCCTAGAAATCTCTTGGAAGGAGCTCAATGCTTACGCATTCCCACCACCAGCACTTCTTCCACAAGTACTACAGAAGTTTCGATCTACCAAGAAGATGACACTGTTTTTGGTCGAGCCTTACTGGACGGCTTGAAGTTGGTGAAAGTGGAAGAAGTTTGAAGATTACTGTAGACTGAAGATCATACCATCTCCCACTACAGCGTCTGCCCAGGTTGTTGCTGACTACCTACAACATCTGCGTACTTCCAAGAAATTGAAGGCGTCTACCCTTGCCACCTATTTAGCAGCCATCAGCACGCTGAGAGCTATGGCAACTGGCATTAAGCTCTCCACTATGCCTGAACTCCAGTCCCTTCTGTTCTCATTTAAGTTATCTGACCAATCGAAGAAGTTCCGACCTAGGATCTTGTCTACGAAGGACTACGAACCTCTAGAAGAGAAGAACTTTGAGCTTATCAAATTCAAGACCTTCTTCCTGGTAGCTCTTGCTACTGCTGCATGTATGTTGGAACTCCACAATCTGGACGTCAACTGAGTGCGTTTTGAGAGGAAGAGGCACAGAGTTTTTCTGGGTCTATCGAAGAACCAACTGCCAGCACAACAGTATAGACTGGTTACCCTACCGCCGTTGTCCACTATCCTTGGGCCTGATGACATCGAAGACCTCATGCTCTGTCCTGTCAGAGCATTGAAGGTCGTAGGCTGCTCAAGCGCCTATTCATCCCACTCTCAACAGCCTCATCAGCAGAAGTCTCTCATATGACACTCACCTTCTGGATGTGATCTACCATCCTACAAGCCTACATGTTCGCCAGTCTTCCCCCTCCAGCTGCGTCGAACCCTCATGAGATGCAGGCTTTGGCGTCAAGTATGGGTCTTCACAGTAACTGTTCGCTGACTTCCATCATGGAGAGATGTTTCTGGAAATCAGAGACGGTCTTCGCTTCCCACTGCCCACGCGACTAATCATGGAGGGATGTCTCTGGAAATCAGAGACGGCCTTTGCTTCCCACTATCCATGCGACCGATCAGTCACCATTGTTGAGGGGCTCAATCAGTTAGCTCCCTTGGTACTGGTGCAGCAACTGTCATAAGCCCATCAACACAGATGGGACATCCTTCGCTTGCGGAGATCATGTTACCTTGTGAAAATTGAATAAAGATGGATGGAACTCCATTTTATCACTGTTCTACTGTCCCTTGGGCATCACATCTACATATCCATGTTCTACAGATTCTAGTCGCAAAACTTTAATTTACTGGGGCCTTCTGATAAAAGGAGGCGAGGCGGGCTCTACTTGCTGAGTTCCGTCCTTTTAACTTCTTTAAGGCATTTAGAAGTTGGAGCAGTAAGGAAGGATAACAATATATGGATGAACATCACCTGCTTGATAACGGTGTTAGAACCTACACCGAAAAGTGGCTGTCACAGCAATAAAGAAGTTGTTCATCCATATATTGTTATCCTTCCTTGATAACGGTGTTAGAACCTACACCGAAAAGTGGCTGTCACAGCAATAAAGAAGTTGTTCATCCATATATTGTTATCCTTCCTTGATAACGGTGTTAGAACCTACACCAAAACGTGGCTCTCACAGCAATAAAGAAGTTGTTCATCCATATATTGTTATCCTTCCTTGATAACGGTGTTAGAACCTACACCGAAAGGTCGCTCTCACAGCAATAAAGAAGTTGTTCATCCATATATTGTTATCCTTCCTTGATAACGGTGTTAGAACCTACTCCGAAACGTGGCTGTCACAGCAATAAAGAAGTTGTTCATCCATATATTGTTATCCTTCCTTGATAACGGTGTTAGAACCTACTCCGAAACGTGGCTGTCACAGCAATAAAGAAGTTGTTCATCCATATATTGTTATCCTTCCTTGATAACGGTGTTAGAACCTACACCGAAACGTCGCTCTCACAGCAATAAAGAAGTTGTTCATCCATATATTGTTATCATTCCTTGATAAGGGTGTTAGAACCTACACCGAAACGTCGCTCTCACAGCAATAAAGAAGTTGTTCATCCATATATTGTTATCATTCCTTGATAACGGTGTTAGAACCTACACCGAAATGTGGCTCTCACAGCAATAAAGAAGTTGTTCATCCATATATTGTTATCATTCCTTGATAAGGGTGTTAGAACCTACACCGAAACGTGGCTCTCACAGCAATAAAGAAGTTGTTCATCCATATATTGTTATCCTTCCTTGATAACGGTGTTAGAACCTACACCGAAACGTGGCTGTCACAGCAATAAAGAAGTTGTTCATCCATATATTGTTATCCTTCCTTGATAACGGTGTTAGAACCTACTCCGAAACGTGGCTGTCACAGCAATAAAGAAGTTGTTCATCCATATATTGTTATCCTTCCTTGATAACGAACCTGTTAGAACCTACATCCATATAAACGTTCCTTGATAACTGTCACAGCAATAAAAAGAGTTGTTCATCCATATATTGTTATCCTTCCTTTCCTACACCAAACGCCGCTGTCTTGTACAAAAAGTTGTGTCCGTGAAAACCACATTTATATATTGTTATCATTCCTTGATAACGGTGTTAGAACCTACACCCAAGGGAGTTTTTGTGCAGTGTTAGCCAAGGGGTTTGGAGGAAGCGATCCATCACAAGTATAGGAGTAATGCAGTCAGTCAGGAGATTGTGCTCATAACAGGCCTTCTTATTCATCATCATCACGTCACCATGGTTGTCATCCCCTCAGACGCAGGGTAATCTGTGGCCCACCGTCTAACTGTGGGATAATTACACTCTGTGAGATTGGATAAGTTTAAAACTTGGAAAATTTTAACTATGAATTGTATATTTATAATACTTATCCTATCTCACCTGATGGATTCCCTCCTGACCAACCCCACTTCACAGATTACGACAATTGCTCCACGACAAGAATGACTATACAGAGGAGTCACATGACCAACCAGAGAACATGCTGCATGCTTTTCAGGAGGCTACCAGGCTGTCCAGTAAGGGGAGCAGAGGTTTGTGTTCGGTCGAAGGTTCCAAGAGAGGCCAGAAACTTTGTTTACAGTTCGTTTCGATTCAATGATCGATTATATAAGAGAGAGAGTACACTCCGTGAGATAGGATAAGTAATTATAAATGTACAATTTATAGTTATTTAGGGCACATACTGTTCACAGACTGTTGGTTCACTCTTCTAGGGCACATACTGTAAGTTACTCTTCGAGGGCACATACTGTTCACAGACTGTTGGTTCACTCATCTAGGGCACATACTGTAAGTTACTCTTCGGTTCACTCATCTAGGGCAGGACACATACTGTTCACAGACTGTTGGTTCACTCATCTAGGGCATATACTGTAAGTTACTCTTCGAGGGCACATACTGTTCACAGACTGTTGGTTCACTCATCTAGGGCATATACTGTAAGTTACTCTTCGAGGGCACATACTGTTCACAGACTGTTGGTTCACTCATCTAGGGCATATACTGTAAGTTACTCTTCGAGGGCACATACTGTTCACAGACTGTTGGTTCACTCATCTAGGGCACATACTGTAAGTTACTCTTCGAGGGCACATACTGTTCACAGACTGTTGGTTCACTCATCTAGGGCACATACTGTAAGTTACTCTTCTAGGGCACATACTGTTCGAGGGGCACAGACTGTTGGTTCACTCATCTAGGGCATATACTGTAAGTTACTCTTGAGTACTGTCACTCATCTAGGGGCATACTGTTCACAGGGCACATACTGTTCACAGACTGTTGGTTCACTCATCTAGGGCATATACTGTAAGTTACTCTTCGAGGGCACATACTGTTCACAGACTGTTGGTTCACTCATCTAGGGCATATACTGTAAGTTACTCTTCGAGGGCACATACTGTTCACAGACTGTTGGTTCACTCATCTAGGGCACATACTGTGTTACTCTTCGAGGGCACATACTGTTCACAGACTGTTGGTTCACTCATCTAGTGCACATAGGGCATATACTGTAAGTTACTCTTCGAGGGCACATACTGTTCACAGACTGTTGGTTCACTCATCTAGGGCATATACTGTAAGTTACTCTTCGAGGGCACATACTGTTCACAGACTGTTGGTTCACTCATCTAGGGCATCTAGGGCACATACTGTTCACAGACTGTTGGTTCACTCATAAGACTGTTCACAGACTGGGTTCACTCATCTAGGGCATATACTGTAAGTTACTCTTGAGGGCACATACTGTTCACAGACTGTTGGTTCACTCATCTAGGGCACATACTGTAAGTTACTCTTCGAGGGCACATACTGTTCACAGACTGTTGGTTCACTCATCTAGGGCACATACTGTAAGTTACTCTTCGAGGGCACATACTGTTCACAGACTGTTGGTTCACTCATCTAGGGCACATACTGTAAGTTACTCTTCGAGGGCACATACTGTTCACAGACTGTTGGTTCACTCATCTAGGGCACATACTGTAAGTTACTCTTCGAGGGCACATACTGTTCACAGACTCTTGGTTCAGGGCACATACTGTTCACTGTTCAGACTGTTGGTTCACTCATCTAGGGCATATACTGTAAGTTACTCTTCGAGGGCACATACTGTTCACAGACTGTTGGTTCACTCATCTAGGGCATATACTGTAAGTTACTCTTCGAGGGCACATACTGTTCACAGACTGTTGGTTCACATCTAGACTGTATACTGTTCACTCATCTAGGGCACATACTGTAAGTTACTCTTCGAGGGCATACTGTTCACTGTTCACAGACTGTTGGTTCACTCATCTAGGGCACATACTGTAAGTTACTCTTCGAGGGCACATACTGTAAGTTCACAGACTGTTGGTTCACTCATCTAGGGCACATACTGTAAGTTACTCTTCGAGGGCACATACTGTTCACAGACTGTTGGTTCACTCATCTAGGGCACATACTGTAAGTTACTTCGAGGGCACAGACTTCACTAGAGGGCACTCATACTAGTTCACAGACTGTTGGTTCACTCATCTAGGGCACATACTGTAAGTTACTCTTCGAGGACACATACTGTTCACAGACTGTTGGTTCACTCATCTAGGGCACATACTGTAAGTTACTCTTCGAGGGCACATACTGTTCACAGACTGTTGGTTCACTCATCTAGGGCACATACTGTAAGTTACTCTTCGAGGGCACATACTGTTCACAGACTGTTGGTTCACTCATCTAGGGCATATACTGTAAGTTACTCTTCGAGGGCACATACTGTTCACAGACTGTTGGTTCACTCATCTAGGGCATATACTGTAAGTTACTCTACTCATCTAGGGCACATACTTTAAGTTACTCTTCGAGGGCACATACTGTTCACAGACTGTTGGTTCACTCATCTAGGGCATATACTGTAAGTTACTCTTCGAGGACACATACTGTTTACAAACTGTAAGTTCACACATCTTGGGTCATTTCATGTTCACCAACTGTCAGGTCATTCTGTAGCTTTGATGTTGTCACCTGTCACACAAAAGCTGAAGTCAGTATTCACACTACCATACTGACAAATCTGTTCTGGTGTTTCAGTTCGTGAAGTTTGCCAACATTGAAGAAGACACTCCATCATACCACAGACGCTACGACTTTTTTGTATCCAAGTTCAGCTCAATGTGCCACAGCAGTATTTCTGAGGAAGACATGCAAAGAAGGTGAGTGGTCTCCCCCTTCTTTACAGGTGAAACACACAGATGTAGACTAGCATGCCCAGTTCGTCCAGAGGGACTGTAAAGTCAGTGTGCACCACAAACAATCCATTTATACTGACCCGACAAACATCAACCTGATATGTTATTTAGTACATTTTCAGTTTTTGGATCTTCTATTGATACAAATATATTTCTAAAATGTATATTTTAACCTTATCCTTATTACATATTGCATTTCCTTCTGTTTCCTGCCAAAATATGACTTGAAAATGTTTTCCCATGACAAAGACAATGTTCTCGAAGAAGGTTGAACTGCTCACCCAAACATAGTCTGCCCTCATGAGCCAGCCAGCCAGCATATGTGTCACTGTTTTCCCTGTCATGAACAGTTGTGCTGTGAAACTTGTGGATATTCAACCTATTCTAGGGCAGATGGGTGTAAATGTGTATGAATTGTTTCTATTTCATGCTTGGAACTTGGTTCATAACAGCACATATTGTATCTGCCATTTTGACTTGATGATTGTTAGGTTTTCTTGTAAAATGGGTTCAGGGTGAAGCAGGTGGTAAGTCCTTCCTGTACACACTTCAGAACTTTATAATGTGGGGTTGGTCTAAATGGGTTCAGGGTGAAGCAGGTGGTAAGTCCTTCCTGTACACACTTCAGAACTTTATAATGTGGGGTTGGTCTAAATGGCTTCAGGGTGAAGCAGAACTTTATAATGTAGGATTGGTCTAAATGGCTTCAGGGTGAAGCAGAACTTTATAATGTGGGGTTGGTCTAAATGGCTTCAGGGTGAAGCAGAACTTTATAATGTAGGATTGGTCTAAATGGCTTCAGGGTGAAGCAGAACTTTATAATGTAGGGTTGGTCTAAATGGCTTCAGGGTGAAGCAGAACTTTATAATGTAGGATTGGTCTAAATGGCTTCAGGTTGAAGCAGAACTTTATAATGTAGGGTTGGTCTAAATGGCTTCAGGTTGTTAGGAAATGGTCAGTACTGGACTTAAATGGCTACAGGTGTCAGCAAGGGGCTAGTACTTGCTAAGGACACTTATTAGCTGCAGAGAGTACCCAAGGTGTGCCAAGGACTTGTGCCTTGCTTGCAGCCTGTGGTCCCATTAAGTTAGTTAGATTGTCTGCCCATTGTTTCTTACACTCTTTTCCACCAACCTCGAAGTCTCATTAATCTAGCCTCTTATTACGCAAGCAGTCTCGATGCTAGTTGAGTATAATACGATTCATGCGACTTACAGAGGTACTGCCCTTGACAGGTTACCAAACACATGTGGCTCATTCTTTAGTCTCCATCTGTGTGCTCATTTCGGTAGCCAATGCTGTGGGAAGAAGCCTGCCTGACACTTATGATGCTTAGATAACCAGCCTCCAACTACTGGATCAAAATGGAACATGTAATGCAGTATAGGGCATGCTGAAAACAGATTACAGACATGTGCTGGCTGGTTGTGAGTGCAGGAAGTATTCAGGTGCACTGTTTCATGCTTGTTCAGGAACAAGTTTTGTCAACACATCCAGTCCTGTTTTCGCAGGAAAATGAAGGGAATGCAACAAGTAGAGGATACAAAATGTGTGAGATACTAGTAAATTTTGTGCCAAATGAGACATCTTTGACATACAGACAAGTTGATTTACAGGCTATCAGTAGTTCCTTGTTGATGTGACCAGAAACTGTAAATTAGCTTTTGACTGAGAAAGAATGGTTTAATTTGACTGGGTGAAGTGACCTGATGTCATGCTAAGATTGTCCTCAGTCTTTCATCAGTCAGTCACAGAAACTGCTGTCACTCCAACTTTACGTGATATGAATATGGGTCACATGACATGAATTGGCATATAGCAGGATATTGAGTATGACGGAAGTCACTTGTTAGTTAATATTGTTCACTTAAAATCCTTGACTTGAAAATTGAGAGATTGTCAGACAGATTTAGCACAGTGTCTTTGCAAATCCAGCTTATATTCTGCTATTTTGCCATATTCTGTTTCTTGTTACTGGCTTTCGATATGAAGGAGGCATATTGCTGCCAAAAATATAACTTTTACAATGAACATTAAGCTGATCATGATGACCTTTATTCAAACCCAGCATATGTATTCTTTATATTTCATGCTTTGAATTGACTTTATTGTTATATGAAGTGTGACATTTATATGTGAATAACTTGAGCTAGCACTCCAAGCAGTGAAGTGTAACCTGTGGCCCAGCCTCGCTGTATGCTTATTCATGTCTGAATGGTTCAGTAGTCTGTACTGACAAGGTCAGTAGGTTTTGTTTCAGGGACAAGTGTATCATGCTTCATGTTTGGATTCATTAGATGCACACAGGTGATCTCTCCTACTTGAGCTCTGTTCCAACATAGCCTCAGTACATTCATAGCTGACAATCATCCTGGTATGAGCTCACTTCTCAGAGCAAAGAACTACACCAGGCTGTACCAAACACTGCTGAGATTGTTAAGTAGATGGACCAGTTTCTCTAAATTCATAAAGTTCCTTGTCAGACAATCTCATTAAAATCCAATCTTAGGTTTTTCTCATTTAAGCAGATATCGGAAGAAATCCCATTACAGGTCGTGTCAGAATGACCTTTCATCAAACCAGTCAGTGTCACTTTTGAGATCTTGTGAATTGAAAGTCTGAATGTGTTTTCTAATCATGGAGTGGGTGGGTGAGAGTGAGTGAGTGAGTCAAACTAGCCATCTATTAAACAGTTTTCAAATTTTGAATGGAAAACTTTGTTGAAATATTTTTCCAGTGTATTCTTGAGTGAAAGTTGCCATAGTAACTACAAGTGCCATGAAGTTAAGGAAGCTGTTATCCCTCTCTTGTATGACATTATTATCAACTGTTAGTGGAAGTATCAACTACATAAGACTCTCCTGCATGACATTATTATTAACTGTTAGTGGAAGTATCAACTACATAAGACTCTTTTGCATGACATTATTATCAACTGTTAGTGGAAGTATCAACTACATAAGACTCTTTTGCATGACATTATTATCAACTGTTAGTGGAAGTATCAACTACATAACCCTCTCTTGTATGACATTATTATTAACTGTTAGTGGAAGTATCAACTACATAAGACTCTTTTGCATGACATTATTATCAACTGTTAGTGGAAGTATCATCTACATAAGACTCTTTTTGCATGACATTATTATCAACTGTTAGTGGAAGTATCAACTACATAAGACTCTCCTGCATGACATTATTATTAAGTGTTAGTGGAAGTATCAACTACATAACCCTCTCTTGTATGACATTATTATTAACTGTTAGTGGAAGTATCAACTACATAAGACTCTTTTGCATGACATTATTATCAACTGTTAGTGGAAGTATCATCTACATAAGACTCTTTTGCATGACATTATTATCAACTGTTAGTGGAAGTATCAACTACATAAGACTCTCCTGCATGACATTATTATTAAGTGTTAGTGGAAGTATCAACTACATAACCCTCTCTTGTATGACATTATTATTAACTGTTAGTGGAAGTATCAACTACATAAGACTCTTTTGCATGACATTATTATCAACTGTTAGTGGAAGTATCATCTACATAAGACTCTTTTGCATGACATTATTATCAACTGTTAGTGGAAGTATCAACTACATAAGACTCTCCTGCATGACATTATTATTAAGTGTTAGTGGAAGTATCAACTACATAACCCTCTCTCTTGTGTATGACATTATTATTAACTGTTAGTGGAAGTATCAACTACATAAGACTCTTTTGCATGACATTATTATCAACTGTTAGTGGAAGTATCAACTACATAAGACTCTTTTGCATGACATTATTATCAACTGTTAGTGGAAGTATCATCTACATAAGACTCTTTTGCATGACATTATTATCAACTGTTAGTGGAAGTATCAACTACATAAGACTCTCCTGCATGACATTATTATTAAGTGTTAGTGGAAGTATCAACTACATAACCCTCTCTTGTATGACATTATTATTAACTGTTAGTGGAAGTATCAACTACATAAGACTCTTTTGCATGACATTATTATCAACTGTTAGTGGAAGTATCAACTACATAAGACTCTTTTGCATGACATTATTATCAACTGTTAGTGGAAGTATCAACTACATAACCCTCTCTTGTATGACATTATTATTAAGTGTTAGTGGAAGTATCAACTACATAAGACTCTTTTGCATGACATTATTATCAACTGTTAGTGGAAGTATCAACTACATAAGACTCTTTTGCATGACATTATTATCAACTGTTAGTGGAAGTATCAACTACATAAGACTCTCCTGCATGACATTATTATTAAGTGTTAGTGGAAGTATCAACTACATAACCCTCTCTTGTATGACATTATTATTAAGTGTTAGTGGAAGTATCAACTACATAAGACTCTCTTGTATGACATTATTATTAACTGTTAGTGGAAGTATCAGTCAAAGTTTGGGGAAAACAGAAGAGGCATACTTAGGTATGGGAGACAACTCTGAAGGGTTTACCATTCCTCACTTATGGGGAAGATTCAACGTAGGTGCAGCCCAACACACCCCTTAAACGTGTAATTACAATCACACTTCAACTTTTCTGTGTTGAAAAATGATTTGCAACCAAAAGTATTTTCTGTCGTTTAGATCATAATGGGGCTCAGATTTGTACAATATGGAAATAGTCGTTTAGATCATAATGGGGCTCAGATTTGTACAACATGGAAATAGTTGTTTAGATCATAATGGGGCTCAGATTTGTACAACATGGAAATAGTCGTTTAGATCATAATGGGGCTCAGATTTGTACAACATGGAAATAGTCGTTTAGATCATAATGGGGCTCAGATTTGTACAACATGGTATTAACAACTTATGAAAATATGAATAATAAAGCTGAAATTATTGCCGCTAATCTGAGATCAGTCAGAGTTTGCTTGACAATTTACAGACATGGAATGATTGTCTTGTAACTTTTGACAGTACCTCAATTCATTAG